TCATCATCACTATTGTCTGCATGGCATCCTTCCTGCTCCTCGTTGCGGCCCTCTATGGCTGTTGCCACCAGCGCCTCTCCCAGAGGAAGGACCAGGTGAGGACTTCACTCCCCTAGCCAGGGAAGTAGTCTAACTCACTAGATGACTCTCACCCCCTTATTCCCATATTAGAGGAAAGTGAGTGGGCCATGGACTCTTTCTGACACGAAATGGAAACTTATATGGAAAATTAAAGAGGCAACATGGTGGAGAGGAAGAACATGGGCTTCGGAGTCAGAAAGACTTGGGTTAAGCCTTAGATCTGCCTCCTGTTATCTGTGTAACCTTGAGCAAGTCATATCCTCTCTGAGCTTCAAGTTTCTCCTCTGCATAGTAGGGATGATATCTACCTTGCAGAGCTGCTCTGAGGATTCATTGATACGAATGGGCCTACACATGCCTGTCTAACCAGAAGTTCGTTCACCCACCTTACTAGAATTCCCATCAGCTTTAAAAAAAATCCCATGCCTAGCTTCCTCACACACCACTAAAACAGAATCTCTGGATCAGTGTATTTGTTAAAAGCTTTTTGTTAAAAGCTTCCCAGGTGACTCTACTGTGCAACCCAGGTTGTATCTCTGATAAAGACAGAGAGAAAGCACTCTCTCTCTCCGCGTGGCTCCTGTCTGCAACAGAGATGGCTACACTCAGTACAAAGATGCTGTATCCATCTTGTTCAGGCTTAGAGAGGTCACCCGGCCTGATGAAAGTAATTTTCTTACAGTCCTTCTCAGTTCATTACAGTGGGGTGAGGCAGGTGCCTAGGTAGTAAGGTTTGAGGGGAAGGAATGAAGGAAAGAGGAAAGAGATTGGAGGGATCTGGAGAACAAAGCCCATCTCCACTGACTTCACAGATTTGCCACCTGGGCAAAGGTGAGGTGAGCTGGGAATTTTAGCATGCTGGGCCCTGAGGCAGGCCAATAGACAGGACAGCCTCCAGGAGCACTTATTGCTCACATTAGCCAAACTGGGGTTCTAGGATTGTAGGGCTACATGTGTTTTATTAAGCCTATATTAAGGCTAATAGCCCTCAAAAATTACCCTTTCCTCTTGGGTCACCTTCCCCCTCTAGCAACGACTAACAGAGGAGCTACAGACAGTGGAGAATGGTTACCATGACAATCCAACACTGGAAGTGATGGAGACCTCATCAGAAATGCAGGAG